CAAAATAATGTTTGCTAAAAAACTGGTTTTCTTATTTGATGGTATATAGATATCATTATTTTGAAATATCCTAAATAAAAAATGCTAATTGTTAATTTTTTATTTTTTTATAGGAAACCATTTAGAACCTTTTAGTGGCAAGTCCTTTTGATATACCGATTCGTTCCGAGCTCTCTTATTATAACGAATTAAGTTATAGTTTTATACTGTACATAAATAAATCTAAAAATGTTAAAAACAGTATGAATATATTCCAATATATCAAAAAGTTGACTATTTTGCAGGCTGGCTAGTTGAGGGTTATGAACATAACAATTGCCAAACCGTCGTCATCTTGGACCATGATCAATTTGTGTGGCTTCTTTGATTTGATGACTTCTGCTGGAACAAAAGTGTCGACGACGAACAAAATGGATCGTCTGATTTTGTTGTTATGTGTATTGACTCATGTGGTGGCCCATTGAACGAGTCTATATTAATTTCCAGTTCATGACGAGCTTGTTAGATATATATGCCATTAATTTTGAACTTTATATGGTTGTTAATTAATAGGATAGAGATAATATCAGAACCGGGAAGAGGATGTGGTCCCACCAGATGAAGCGCACTATAAGAGGATGAGTCTAAATGCAGTTTAGTGAGATTTCGTCTCAAAATCAATTGGTGATGGGAGGAGTAACGCACTAGGCTTATAAACTAGACTCGTTTACCCTATAGAATCAATGAGAGACAACTCAAAAATGATATTACAACACGTCCCCTCACTTGGAGTCCTTCGTAAGCCCAAAGCCCACATAGCAGGCCGGTAGAGCCCGCTCTGATACTATATTAGAACTGGGGAAGATGATATGGTTCCACCAGATGGAGCGATAGAGCGCACCATAGAGGGTGAGCCTAAATGCACCGAAGTGGGGTTCCATCCCAAAACTAATTAGTGATGGGAGGAGTAGTCAACTAGGCTTATAAACTAGACTCATTTATCCTACAGAATAAATGTGGGACACTCATAAGTAG